ATCTGCTCTTACAGAGGACCCAAGTTCAGCTCCAAGCACCACGTCAGATGGCTTACAACCCCGTGGAACCTCAGTTCCAGGGGATCCTATGCTCTTGACTCCTTGGGTAGCACCCCCAATGCCCACCCATACATGATTAACAACAGAGTAAATTCTGAATTCCTAATATTTCTTATTTACATACATGGTGTATAGAGTGCACTCTGCCGTGGACTCTGGTCCAGTTCCTACAAATTGTTTAGATGAATGGAACTGTAGTCAGGTATTGTTTAACACAGGCTGAGGCTGGCGAGGGGGCCCAGCAGGTAAAGGCACAGGCCGTGCAAACCTGGAGACCTGCATTTGATCCCAGGAACACACATAAAGGGTTAAGGAGAGAACTGACTCGCAAAGTTGCTCTCTGACTTCACACACACACACACACACACACACACACACACACACTCACACACTAAGTAATAATAATAATAATAATAATAATAATAATAATAATAATAGAAAGATAACATTCTATTGCACGATTGACATGGTTTCTGTTTAATTTTAAAGCAGCAGATCATATTCGTTAGAAGCTAGGTGAACTCCTAGGAACATGTATTCACAATATGTTCTGACATTTCGTTAAGAACAAGGTTGAAGTGTGATTTTTCTTTTTTTTTCTTTTCACAGCCTTCATCCGAGATAGCAGCAGGTACGAGTTTTCTTGACATGGTTCAGTAAGTTTGGCACTTCAGTCCTTTCCAATTGAGTTAAACGTGCCTTTAAATAGAAGGATGTGGCCCTATGGATAGACCTCATTTCCTTCCTAAGAACTTCAAATGAAATTACACACTTGCTCTCTAACGTTAGAAAGGTCTCCAAGAAATTCTGTCAAGTTCACGTGTTTTAAAGGGACCCCATGTCTGGCTGTACAGCCCCCGAGACGGGTCCCCGGAGAGTGTTACCAGGTGACATTTTGTAGTCCGTGACCTCTTAGCTGCTAACACATGTTCAAAAGGAAATGAGGAGTGATTTCCGACTTCTCTCCACCAATTTCCTCACTTCTCTCTCTTTTACACATGGGTACCTCTAAGCGGTGTAAATTGCATTTGTCTCCACCCTCTATCAATTCAGACCTCTCTCTCCTGGTGAGATTTTCATCTCCTTACCTCATGGGACATGATCCTTCTCTTCTATTTGCATCACCTTCCCAACTCATTACTACTTAAGGACATGTTGCCCTTTAAACACATTCCCTTAAGCTTATTAAATGGTCGCTAGCGTGTTTCAGAACTCAAACAAATTAAAGGGACAAAGGGGAGTTGCCGTCACCTTCCCGCCTCTCCCTGATTAAGTTTTGAAGATAAACAAAATCATCTAGAAAGCTGAACTAAATCTCCAACGGCTTGTTTCCCTCCTTTATGTTTCTGTTCAACTGGCGCTGAAACACAAAGTCAGTTCCTACGTCAAATCCAGATGAGCAGCTTCTCATTCTGGTGTTTTAACCCGTTTTTACTGAGGTGTGAAAAGATAGCACGAGCTCGGTCCTCTTGAACGTTTTAAGGGGACACTGTGAGGTTGCTACACTCTGTGGGGTAAACCACAGAAACATCGTATAGACCTCCAAAGCACACAACTTGTAACACGTTTCTGTCGTGCATATTCTTAAGCAGAAACAAATCAGTTTCTCTTTGTTTTTGGAAGGATCATCCCGTTAGCTATGAACACAGCACATGCTGTGGAAGAACACAATGATTTTTGATATGTACGAAGAACACACCTGAAATTTTGAAACAGTGACAAGTTTCCCATATCTTCCTTTTCACTAAAAGGTACCAAACACGTTTTGAGGCCTGCACTCTCCAGTCGAAAATCTTATAGCTTAAGCCAACTTGAGCTCATTTATAACTGGTGGCAACCTAATTCCGTAAGTTTGCAAGAGACTGTGATTGTCGTCGGAAGGAGTCGGTCCCCGAGGTGCTGCTCTTCAGCCCTGGTTGCACTCAGCCATGGCTGTGGAGTGCGGGGAGGTCTTTTCAAGGCTGGTGGGCACAGACCAGCCAGGGAGAGAATTCCGCATACTGTACGGATCATCGCTCAGTTCAGGGCAGTCACATTGCATCTGGGATCAGCCAGCGTGCTCTGTGAAACCGTCAGTCCTCATTTGTGTCTGGCTGTTTTCTGTCCAGCTGTAAACAAGGCCGGCTCAAGTTGTCTCCCTACCCTTATCTACGTGGGCAGATCCCACAGTCAGATGGAGCCAGCGGCCTCGGCCTCAGCGCTCCAATTGCTTCTTGCCTACAACAGTTCTGGGGCACACTGGGTAGTCACAAAGAGAAGCCACTTCCGGATGACAGGGCTCCCAGTCCCTTTTCAAAAATGCATGCCTTTGATTCCTACAGAGGCCGGCGCACAAGGTCTTTTTCCTGAGATGAAATTGGGTATTCCTAGGAGAACAATTGTCCACACACCCACACCCACACCCCGACAGACAAGCTCAGCAGATTCATCTGGTTGGGAGTCTGGGTAGAGATGAGGATGATCATTCTGTTGTTTTACTGCTCCGGGGCTCAGGAAAAAAAAAAAAAAAAGTCATGGATAGAAGCATTACCAATCTGGTTCAGCTCCAGGAAGCTAACCTTGCTGAATCGCTCTGAGGGAAGGCGGAAAGAAAAGCAGGTACACTGGCTTCTGGCTTCTGGTCTCATCCATCTCGGCCTTTACAATACATCCAAGCCAGAGCTTGGATCAGCAGACATTCCCTTCAGTAGGAGAAAAGGGGAGGGGCGGCGCGCTGGAGGGGCGGCGGCTGGAGAGCCTTCCCTGGCAAGTGGCATGGAGGTGCCATTTAGCATGGGTCACTCTATTGAATCCCCCTAGCCAGCTGGCCCGTCCCTGTTTAGACTTCTCCTCCTCCGTGAACCTGTTTTGTTCTCCCAGTCTATTACTTTGTCAATTTAAAGAAAAACAGCCACAGTGAAAAGCCTGCAATTTGCACCTGTCCGCTCTGAGCAGTCTGTGTCAGATCAGGTGGAGAACAACACTAGCGCTGCTAATGAGACTAAATGGGGGAGGGG